GAGAGGGGGGGAGGGAGAGGGGGGGAGGGAGGAAGGAAGGACAATAGCAATAGCACTTAGACTTATATACCACTTCACAGTACTTTCCGCCCCTCTCTAAGCAGTTTACAGAATCAGCCTCTTGCCCCCAACCATCTGGGTCCTCCTTTTACCCACCTCGGAAGGACAGAAGTCTGAGTCAACCTTGAGCCCATCAGGATCAAACTCTTGGCAGTGGGCAGAGTTAGCCTGCAATGCTGCATTTTAACCACTGCCCCACCAAGGCTTCAACAGTAGCTCTGTTGCTACAGGTAGTTCTCGACTTAACAACTGTTCATTTAGTGACCAAAGTTACAACAGCACAAAAGAGACTTAGGACCGTTTCCCCACACTTATGACCACCGCAGCATCCCCATGGTCACGTGATGGAAATGGACAGAGCTAAGCATTCACATCCGTGCCAAAGGATACAGGGCTGAAGAGGCTTGTTGGAGGAGGCTGACATCATCTGCCAGAGGGAACATCTCATCATAATCTCGGAGGAATCTGAAATAGCAGAGTAACAGAATAGCAAAAGGGATCATAGAGACTTTCTACTCCAACCATATGTCCTTTCAGACAAAGGGCTGTCCAATCTCTTCTTAAAAACCTCCAGTATTGGACATCCACAACTTCTGGAAGAAAACCATTCCACTGATTCAACTGATTTCTCCTTAAGTACACTGAGAGCATCTGCACCAAAGACAAATTCCTTCTATGTCCAATCACACTTTGGCCAATATAGAATTCTACTCTTTCTAATTCTGTTCTAATTCTATTCTATCCCATTCCATTCCATTCCCCTTCCTTCTTTCCTTATTCTATTCTGTTCTATTCCTATTCCATTCCATTCTATTCTATATCTATTCCATTCCATTCCATTCTCCTTCCTTTTTTCCTTATTCTATTCCATTCCGTTCAATTCTCCTTCTTTCCTTCCTTATTCTATTGTATTCCGCTCTGTTCTGTTCCATTCCATTCTCTACTTTCCTTATTCTATTCAATTCCATTCTATTTTCTTTCCTTATTCTATTCCATTCCATTCCATTCTCTTATTTCCTTATTCTATTCCATTCCATTCTCTTCTTTCCTTATTCTATTCTATTCTTTCCTTATTGTCTTCTCTTCCTTCTCTTCTTTCCTTATTCTATTCTATTCCATTCCATTCTCCTTTCCTTATTCTAGTCTATTCCATTCCATTCTATTTTCTTTCCTTATTCTATTCTATTCCATTCCATTCTCTTCTTTCCTTATTCTCCTCTTCTCTTCCATTCCATTCTCTTCTTTCCTTATTCTATTCTATTCCATTGTCTTCTTTCCTTATTCTATTCTATTCCATTCTCTTCTTTCCTTATTCTATTCTATTCCATTCCATTCTCTTCTTTCCTTATTCTATTCTATTCTATTCCATTCCATTCTATTTTCTTTCCTTATTCTATTCTATTCCATTCCATTCTCTTCTTTCCTTATTCTATTCCATTCTATTCCATTCTCTTCTTTCCTTATTCTATTCTCTTCTATTCCATTCTCTTCTTTCCTTATTCTATTCTATTCTATTCNAGAGAAAGAATCTTTGGTGAAACACACTGAAGAACTCCAGAAAGAAATGTCTGAGGTTCCTAGCCAAGTTGCCTTCCTCAAACTTGAGAAAGCTGCCTTATAATCTTTGAGAAGCTCCTCAAAGAGGTCTGGAGCCTTCTTAAGAACTCAAGAAGCACTTCCAGAGTCTGCAGCATGAACTGGCTGAGATGGACCAAAGTTCCACTTTGTGGAGAAAAGCCACTCCAGCCAACAGAAGCAGAAAGTCACCATTCTTCAGAATGTGGAGGGAAATGAGAAGAAGCACCTCAACCATCTTCAGAGCAGCAGACCTGTGTTTACCAGGCCAGACAGGAAGACCTGCAGAAAACTCTGGAGGACAACAGAGAAGGATTGACCCATGTCAGAATGGCGATCCAAGAATTAGAGCTGCAGAACAGGTGTTTGGATAAGGACAGGGAAGATCTCCACAGGGAGGTCACCAGCCAAGTGGCCTTCTTCAGAAATGATGTTGGCACTCGAGTGACCAGCACATGGGACAACATTGCTGACACTCTCTCTCCCTATACCTGGAATGGAGGAATGGCGGCCTTCTACCCATTTGAAAGAGGAAAGAGTTTCTTCCCCTCCCTTCCCTTGACTTGCCACCCAGTGTGCCAGGAGAGTCAGGAGAGCCCCACCTTTACCAGCTGAAGCCCCACCCTTACCCCCACCTTACCAGTCAGTGGAAGACTGCCAGCTGAGCTGAAAGCCTCCCAGCCACCAAGCATCAGGGCCTGAGAGCACCGAGGAATCCCAGGGCTCTGAGCCAAGAAGGAGGGTGGAGGTGATGGCCATGGCAATGGCGAGGTTGGTAGGGGTGGCTCCCCAGGCTCAGCTCCAAGCCTCAGAGTGCCATCTGAAGATGAGGGGGGAGTAGTGAGAAGGGTGGGGGCTCTGCTGTGGGGAGGGCAGTGAGTCTGGCCAGAGCCGGATCTGGGAGCCAGAACCGAGCAGCCAAACGAGCTGAGCAGCTGGGTTCTGGGCAGCCCAGAGGAGAGGAGAGGAGAACAGCTAGAAGCCAAACTGGGAGCCGAGGGATCTGCAGGAGATGCCTCAAGGCAGCAGAGACCCCCGGAGGCCGCAAGTCTGACAGAGCTGGTGACAGAGCTGGAAGACAGGGCTGGGTTGAGGGTCTCGGGGGCAGGCAGAAACNTTCCTCCCCAAGATCACATGCAGTCAAGAGGCCCCACCTGAATATATTCACTGATGAATAAGAGCTGAGGTACAGACACTGACTTTCCAATATACTGTAACCTAACCTCTTTTTTCCTCCTTGCCTATTCTATCCTGAAAATCTTACTTTCTTCTTGTGAGCTGATGTAACCAGTTTAGTAACACAATTTGGTGGCAACATTTGGAGAGAATCATAAATCACATCCAAGGAAGCCATACAAAACCCATTTGGACTGTGGGCTTCTGGTACATAAGATAAGCTTCAGCTGAATAAATGTTCCCCATGACTGCATTTGTTCCTCTTTTCTCCTGTGAAACTTCAGTTTGTATTTGATAAATATATTTAAACCATTTTTAACAAAACCCTACACTAGTTTCACAATGGTCCAAGCTGGATCTTTGATAAAATGACCTAATGACTAAGATCTCACTATATTGCATTTTAATTATTTCCTTTGAAGAAGAGTAGTTTACAGGCCTTAAATACATAATACAAAAATACAAAAACTAATCAAAGTTTAAAACTAATTAAAGTCATATAAGATTGGGCTTGGGGTTTCAGTTAAAGGGAAGCCTGTCAAATTGGAGGCCCATGGGCCAGATAGGTCATGCGCAGGCTACACCCACCCCGGTTCCGCAAAGGCAAAAAATGTCATGATATGTCACATGACGCGATCGAGTTTGACAAACATGTTTAAGGGCTCAGCTATTGCCTCACCCCTCACCCCCCCCCCCCAGATTGCTAACTGTAATTTGATGCCAGCAACTCCTATTAGTGGCTAATGTATTTGTAAATTAGATGTGCAAAACGTGTATTTTCCGGAAGTGATTCTTCTGTAATAGAAAGTGGTTTGTGATATTCTACCATATCTTTCTTATGAACAGTGGTTTATGGTTTAACATGTCTATACCCAGCTAACTGAGCTAACTGTACGATCATTTATTTTAAAACTATTGAAAGTTTCAGTGCCACTGAAAGAGTTACCTAAAGCTGGTCCTCAAACTTACTTGTAGCGTTTCCGCAGTCACATGACCAAGCACCTGGAAACCAGCATGTATTTACAATGGTAGAAGTGATTCGGGGTCATGTGGTTGCCATTTCTGACTTTCTCAGGGGGCTTCTGACAAGAGAAGTTAAAATACAAGCTTGATTTGCTCAACAACCATGTGATATACATAACTGCTGTGGCAAAAAAGATCATAAATTTGTACACAACTCACTTAATGACTGATGGATGTTCCAATCTCAATTGTGGTTTGTTGTGGACTTCCTGTATTTTGAAACTGACTTTAAACTGCTGACCTAATGGCAGGGGTGGGTTCCTGCCAGTTCTAACCTCTTCTATAGAAGAGNGGAGGCGCCCCGCTCACTATCTGCCGGTGGGCATCTCCGGCGATTCCCCGTTGACAGCGAAAAAAAGGCTCAACACCACGTGGAGGGCGGAGAAGAGCAGCGCCTTCCTTTGTGCCCTGCGGAGTTTCTTGCACACAGGATGGGCGTGATCTGGCAGACGCAAGGAAAACTCTGCAGGGCGTGAAGGAACCAGCGTGGCAGCGGCGGAGCTGGGAAGGTGCTGCCCCCGGAGCCCAAGGGTGAGCGGGCTGGTGCGGACTGGCGAGTGGGCGCCTTTCTCGCACACAGGACGGGCGCAACCTGGGAGACAAAGGCGCCCGCTTGCCAGTCCGCCCGCCCACCCTTGGGCTCTAGGGGCAGCACCTCCCCAGCGCCTTCTTTTGTGCCCTGCGGAGCTTCTCGCACACAGGACGGGCGCGATCTGGCAGACACAGGGTAAACTCCGCAGGGTGCGAAGGAACCAGCGTGGCAGCGATGGAGCTGGGAAGGTGCTGCCCCCGGAGCCCAAGGGTGAGCGGGCTGGTGCGGGCTGGCGAGTGGGCGCCTTTCTCACACACAGGACGGGCGCAACCTGGGAGACAAAGGAGCCCGCTTGCCAGTCCGCCCGCCCACTCTTCGGCTCCGCGGGCTGGCGAACGGGCACCTTTCTCACACACAGGGAAGGGAAGGAGGGCGGCGGCGGCTGTTTCACTAACCCCGCGCAGGTTACTAAAGGCCCTCAGCAGCGGCAGCAGCAGCCGACGATGACGACCTCGCGTGACGGTCCTTGGGGACGCTGCAGAAGCCCTGCCAAAGCGCCCCTTTCCCAGCTCGGAGCGGGATGAGCAGCGAGCGGAGCCTCGTTTAAAACGACGGCCGTGGCCGCTCATTCACTCCGCCGCTCTTGCATGGATGTCTGAGGAGGCAGAGGGGTGGGAGGGGCATGAAGGAACCAGCACGGCGGCGCTTGGCAAGCAGGCGCCTTTCTCGCACACAGGGAAGGGGAGGAGGGTGACGGCAGCTGTTTCATTAACCCCGCTCAGGTTACTAATTCCCGGTTTGCTCATCAGTGAAGCAGCAAAACAAAGCAAACGGCCGCGAAGGCGAAATGAATTGGAGACTCCTGCGACTCATGCGGTCAGCCCCTTTAACCATATATTTCCTACCAACCATCTGTATATTTTAACCAAAATTCTTCGCCCACTTTATCATGCATTCTTTAACCTGTTCTTCCTCTGTTTTAAATTTCCACAAAAGTTTGTATGGTTTTTATCATTACAGTTCATATTCATCATGAAAACATAATTATATTTCAAATTCTGGCTCTCTTTGCTTTATACTATCTTTTTTATCCATTTTAAATCTTTCAGATGACTGTAAATGGAAAAAATAATTGGCAATTATATCCTTCTGCTATTCATTTTCCAATAAGTTTGATATGTCAACTATTTATCTTTATCTGCCAATTCTCTTCCATAAAAGGCTTCTGGAGCTGAGAGACCTC